TTCTCTTCTCTTCTCTTCTCTTCTCTTCTCTTCTCTTCTCTTCTCTTCTCTTCTCTTCTCTTCTCTTCTCTTCTCTTATTTAAAGGTTACCTGTCAGTTTCCTCCCTCTGTATCCATGGTTACACTGCACTACCCATCCCTTTGCTAGTGTTTCAAACACACCATGCGGGAGATCTGTCCATTTTTTCCTCTCTCTCTCTTTTTTTTTTTTTTAAAACATACCATATATCTGCGCTTTATAAAAGTGAATTGCTCTCACAGATGCTCATTTTTATAGTACTCTGGAAATCATAACAAGTAGTGCTATGGTGTGTGATATTTGGACCAGAACAGATGTATGTGGCTATGAGGTGACTGTATTATGGGACATTATTGTGATAACATAAAGCCCCTCAGCTCGTATATAATAATCCTGACACTTGTAGGGTTCCTTTCATGCAGATTCGGGGGACCTGCTGGGTGTGATGGTGCGGTGCTTTTTGAAATCCGCATGTCTCACGGGCTGTTTGGCATCGTTGGACCGTCGGTGCTGACTTTACTCATGTCTCTTTTCCCTCAGGTTTCAGCCACGGATGAGGACCGTGGTTCCTTTGGAGCGATAGCCTACACCCTGGGTTCCGCCTCTGGAAGCACAGCGCCGACCCGCTTCACCATAGACAAGGAGACCGGCCAGCTTTGCACCAGCACGGCTCTGGACAGGGATGAGGGATTGGAAAAGTTTGACCTGACTGTCACTGCAACAGATGGAGTAAGAACACATTTAACCCAAATCCATAAGAGACATAGTGATTTATAGTTATAATCTCTGTAACTTTTAAGTGTTATCTACCAGTCTTTTAAAGGATTAGTTTGATGTTTTGGGAAATAAACGCACTTTCTTGTAGAGTTATGTGAAAATCAATACCACTATATGTCTGTATAATGAATATAAAGCACCATCAGACTAGCTTAGCTTAGCACAAAGACTGAAAACACAGGAAAACGGATAGCTCAGCAAAGGTACAAAACTGAAGTCTAAAACTACAGTTTGCCATGTTTATATTTAAAGTTTTGCATGGATTAGACAAATGGCTTACTGTATAAACTGTTAATTAGTGAGCATTAGAGATTCTGCTTGATGAGTTTTACTTTTAAAGAGAGTCAGTCTGCTTAGATATGAAACTATTTCTTTATGCTTTTCATCTTCTTTTGCAATTAAAGCCTAATTAATTACAACTGACATAAACTTCTGAAGGATACCAAATAGTTACGATCGACTAAAGTCAGAGCACTTGTTCTGTAGCTACAGGAGGAATACTTGTGCTGCTTCGTGACCGAACACGTTGCCTGCTGCATATGTAATATTCCTTCTGATCAAAGCTGCAGACTGAAATCAAATTAATGGTGTGTACAGCTGCACTCGGATAAATCTGATCAAAGTGAAATATAGGACATGTTTTAAGAAGACAGCATCCTGTTCCTTACCTAGTGTCTTCAAAAATCAAGGGGAACCGCAACAGCATGGCAAAGCAATCAGGGGAAAACGGAACGCAAGGAGGGACAAGGTACAGAAGTAGGAAAACAGATAAAGTTATACCATATATTTTAAATAACTTTTACTACAGGATGATTCTATTTAGGTTGAATATGATGGCTCACTTGACGGGATTTACACATTCTTTGTTCTAGGATCATCCCAGTAGTCCCATACACAGCATATCAATTAATCACAGAGGATGTAGTTAAATATAGATTGAAACTCTACATAAAGGTGCAATAAAAATGCACTCTCTTGTGCATAGTTAGTTTACTCAAAGAAACAGCTACACAGCCGCTCTTATGGATGTATTATTATTAGTCATAGTAGTAGTAGTGCTCCCCACGCATTCCCAGCTCATTCCAGCTGGTGTCTGTTCCCCTTTGTCTCGACTCTGCCTGTTTTTAATGGTCTCGTAAAACAAAACCCGCAGATACAGTGTAATGAGTGCAAACCCTTCCCCTCACTGACAAATGCGCACAACGGTTGATTGGCTCCATATTTCAGGGATCTTCAACAGAGAACTCGCCTTTCTGTTTTCCTTTGCAGCTGCTCATCTTCACAGTGCGACATAAATCTTTTGTCACAGTTTAATATCATGAAAGTCCTGGACTGTCACTTCTCACAAAGGGACAGAAAACAAATTGAAACTTGTCCTCGGGGATGTTTTGTGCATTGGACTCATAAGCCACTTGAGAGCCTGTAAATAGATCAACAGAACAAATACTATCATCCTTGAGCTAGGGGGATAGCCACGACAACTAAAACAGCTATTCTTATATTGTAGCGTCCATTTATCTCCATATACTAGTCAACAAAGGTCTTTTATGTCATTGCAGCCTTTGTGTCTGCTCGTGTGACCTTGAGTGTTCTGCTAATACTCAAAAATCTTGGATGAAATCTGGTTCAAACTAAATTTTTACATTGGCTTTGTTTTACAGGGTGGTCTGAGCTCAGTAGCCCGCGTGAGGGTCTCAGTGGTGGACATCAATGACAACCGACCCACATTCTACCCAGTCCTGTACACAGTCAGTCTCAGTACCCATAGTGCCCCAGGTACCTCTGTTGTCAAGGTAACAGCCAATGACCCAGACGCTGGAGAAAACGGCAGGGTGACCTACCGCACAGTGCCGGGAGGAGGCTCCAATTTTTTCACCCTTAACAAAGACACAGGTATGTGAATGTGCAGCACATTGTTGTGGCACGTAAAAGAATGTGATGCAATTAGGTGTATATGCCATAGACTGTAACGTGTATCTTAATGAATAAATGCTAATGGGCTGTTTTGCCATGCAAAGCCAAAATGCAGCAACATTAACAACACATTTGGTCAGCGGTGACTTACGACTACAGTACTATCATGAGATTTTTCTTCTTTTTTTTTTGTGATAGGGCTATAAAAAAAAAAAAAGTGGCTCTGATCGCATTCACTTAGAGTTAGCTGGTGATTGAGCTCTCTAATGTGTTAAGCCCAGTCTACCCACTTTTCCTGTTCCAGGACACTGAAAAAGCAATTTTGAAGCTCCGCTATGATTCTGCAAATGAGTTTGTTATGCTGCATAAATAATAACAAATAAGGAAGAGTGTAATAGCCTCTGACTGCAGTGGCATTAATGTCATTTCAAGTGGTTAAGTGTACTTTAAGTCACATTTTTTTCTTTAATTGGTTCACAGCTAATGTAATGAACAAGCTTCTTAGTAAAAATGGACCAAAGAGCTGAAGTAACAAAGTGTTTTAAGATCATTTGTTTTTTACCTGCACCCTTGAGACAATCTAAACATAGAGTACAGTAACTAGCTGAGCTTTTTTTGGGATCTTTTCTGTAAGGTCGGTGACGGTTATTAATAATTCCAAAAATACATGAAATTAAGCAAAAAAGATTAGCACACTTTCCGCATCAGCTTTGTTGTTTCCCTAGTTCGTGCTCTCTGCCTACATAAGGTAGTATTGTGAAATTGTGTGTCTGCTTTGGAATACCTAAACACCAAAGAATGTAGGGTAATTTGTCTTCTGTGTTTATCTTCATTCCCTCTGCATTCCTTTGTAGGTGTGATTTCTCTCTCCCGCTCGCTCCATGGCAAAGCCAACACAGTAATCTCCATGGTCATATCAGCCGAGGATGGTGGAGGTCTGACGGCACCAGTCAACGCCAGAGTGAACGTGAGCGTGGTGGGAGGCTCGGTGGCGTCTCCGGTGTTCGAACAGGCACAGTATTTTTTCACCGTGTCCGAAGACGTTCTCAGGGGGACGGCAGTGGGAGTGGTGCGTGCTTCTGCCAAGACAGGTGAGGAGGCCTGTACTCTCACATCCTGCAATTAAGTATTTTCTAAGTCTGCTCTGCACTTGGTAATCTGAGGCTTGCTTTTACCACTCGCGTGTCTGTTTCCATCTTTTTGACAAGGACAGAAATGCACTAATGGAGTGGAGAGTACACCATGCCTTACAAATATGCGAGCAACAAGAGCATACACTCCATTAAGAAATCACATCCATCACACAGCTTGGGCTTCACTAATGATTATTTTCAACGCAGCCAGACTTTTAATTTCTCGCACTGTTAATGATGGAGAAAAGGGGTTTTGAACGAGGTTGTAATTCTGAGTGGGAGTCAGAGTGGCATGGCGTAGTGGACAGATGCACACTTATTGCTGTCTGCGTTAATGTAGAAGTCTTTTGATGAATCAAGACCTTCACCTTTCAGTGAATCCAGTGCTTCATTAACACTTAGGCAAGAAATGAGCAGAAGTAAACAGAGCACATCCTTGTCTCCTAAAAGTTTACATGGATTTGTTATGTGATCTTTTTTTTAAGTTGTTGTGTATCACTTATCTAAAGGGTCATATGCAGAACGTATATGCTCTTTCAGTCGCATTTCGTGGTGAGGGTTTTAGCAGAAAAATTCATTTTTTGCTGCTTTTAACTTCTCAAAAGTCACCATTTGATGCTTTTCTCTGTCTTATATCATTGCAAGTTGAAAGCTTTCTGCAGACGTCATCCTTGGCTCATGGGGATTATTGCTTTCTTCACTATTCTCTGACATTTTGCAGCCCTAATCCCTTGTTATTGTCCTTTATCCCACCCTTTCTTTCTCTGTCTTTTGCTTTCTTTCTCTGTGTTCCATTCAGGTGTCTCTAAGGGTATTTTCTACTCCATCTCTTCTGGAGACCCTGATGGTTACTTCACAGTTGACAGTGCCTCTGGAACCATTCGCACAGCTCTGCCTCTGGACCATGAGACCTGCTCCAGTCTTGACCTGGAGATCCAGGCACGCTCTGGCTCTCCACCAGCATACGGAACCAGCCGCGTTCGCATCACCATTTCAGACATCAATGACAATGCCCCTACCTTCCTTCCTTCCTCGTCAGAATCCCTGCTTCTACCTGAGATCACCAAAATGGGGACTGTCATCTACCGTATTCAGGCCACAGACAAAGACTCTGGTCATAACGGTCAGCTGAGCTTCGATCTTGTCTCTGCTGGAGCAGCAGGCAGCAGTGGCCAGAGAACGTTTGGTGTTGACCGGGGCAGTGGGGAGGTTCGTCTGATCGGGAGTCTGTCATATGAAACTGTCCCACGGTACGATCTTCAGGTGGTCGCCAAGGATGGTGGAGCACCTCAGCTTAGCTCCACCTTCACCCTTGTGGTCCACATCCAAGCCCAAGACGCACAAGGCCCCAACTTTGACACCCTGACGTATCGCGTGGAGCTACGAGAAAACACTCCTCTCAACACTCGTTTCCTCCAAGTTCGAGCGCTCAACAGAGAAGCTTCCGGGAATGGTGGAAGCTCCTCCTCATCCTCCTCCCCTATTTCATACCGCCTCAGGCCTGACGGTGATGCTGCCGGTTTTGGAATCATGCCAGATAGCGGCTGGTTGTTCGTACGGAGCTCTTTGGACCGAGAGGTCAAAGACATGTACCTGTTAACCGTACTGGCCACGTCAGGCCCAGGAGGGACGGGGAGAACTGGCAGCGCCACCGTCAGGGTCACAGTAACTGATGAGAATGACAATTCACCACGACTGAGCCAGGAGAGGGTGTTCCTGGCTGTCAGGGAGAATCTGCTCGCAGGGACAGGCTTTGGCAGGGTGTCTGCGACGGACAGAGATGCAGGACTAAACGCTCGGCTCACCTACAGGCTGCTGCACACTGACAGGCACTTTCAGATCAACTCCCAGACAGGTGAGCAACATAAAGACCAAACTTAGCTATTGGATTTTAATTTAACGGTACACTTGAAGCAGTTTATTGTAATTGTGTTACACTGGATGAAAATGTAGTTACTTCATAAGCAGCAATAATACCAGCATAATTTCCCTGGAGAAATTAATGATTAGCTCTTTGTAAATTAAAGCTACATGGTAATTACTCACTAATATCCCTTTGTGCTCATTTTTTTTTTCCTGTTTTAGGTGAGATCAGCACCCGCCTTGCCCTGGACAGAGAGCAACAGTCCAGCTATCAGGTTGTTGTGGTGGTGCAGGACGGGGGAACGCCTCCTCGCAGCGCCACCGGTACTGCTCATATCACTGTGCTGGACGAAAACGACAATGCTCCTAGTTTCACTCATGCCAGGCCCGACAGAGAGCTGCTTCTTCAGGTGAGACTGATGGATCAGACAGTGGGAGATTTCTGAGATAAATAACGCATATCAATGAACATAGTTTTTTGCAAGTTTCAGTTTAACTTCTGTGCATGTTATGTTAACCCAGAGAGAGAGATGCTATCAGAACATATTGTTATCCCAGCGAGGATTTAATTTGACAGCGGCAACATATTTCATCGCCTTCATTCCCAACAGAGTTACCATATAACATACATCTGTGACTTCTTTGATTAATATTTTAAAACAAAGAACAGGAAGGATGTTTAGTCTAATAAAATGTCTTATAAGCAATAATTGTCCTTTTTTTCTCTTTTATATCCTAACAATTATTGTGTTGGAAAAGAAATAAAGATAAGGAACAGCAATACACTGTATGCTGGCTTAGTGTGGAGAAATACATTATCATGAATAACAATTCTTCATTGTAGGTGATGGAGGGTCTTCCATCTGGGTCAGTCTTAGGGACTGTGTTGGCCAAAGACCCAGATGAGGGAGAGAATGGCACCATCTACTACTCTCTATCAGGTGAGTAGCTTAAATCTTACAGCTACATATTTACAGGCTTACCTAATTTTGTTAAAAATTTACGACATGTTTCTGATGCATCCTCCTCAGGCGCGAGAGCAGAGCGTTTCTCCCTCAGCCCGACCAACGGCGAGCTTAGAACCGCTTCCCCTCTGAGATGGACAGAGCGAGCCGAGTACTCCTTCACTGTGACTGCTGCTGACCACGGTGCCCCAGGCCTCAGCTCCACCTGCCAGCTACAGATACAGGTAAACATAATCTGTGCATTTTTATATCCTCATCCATAATCATCCAGCTGAACAACAAACACTTTTGCTGTATCTCTAAAATGTTTCTAAAGCATCAGGCGGTTGGAAACAAAGGCCAGTCCTGGCGAGCAAGCCTCAAACTGTCTCATATACACATTACCTCAGTCCTTTTGCATTACTTACTGGAAGTAATCTCCTCAATCTGTGCACAAAGTGAATAGCATAACTGTCAAAGGAATTGAAAAAGGAGGTAAATATGAGAAGGAGAGAAACTGAACCTGTGCCTTTATAAACAGAATCATCTATCCAGTTTAGTGTGTGTTTCCTGATCCAAAGGTGAGTGGGGTAACCAAAGCCCGTTTGAGAAACCCTGAGCTATAGGAGGGTGCTGTTCTGAACTTTCAGCGGGAGGGTCAATACTGCATATCAACACACGCTATCAGGAATTCAGCAGCAGGAAAAAATGTCTGCCACTGCAGCATTTAGCCAGAGAAGGGTGGTGGTTTGCTTTGACTGTGGAGCTCTGAGCTCGGTGTTTTTTTGTGTGATGTGATTTCAGAGAGGAAAAGGATGCTAATTACGGTTGGAGTGCTTGCCTTAGATTTCGCCTGTGTGCCGCTTGTGTGACACTGAGATTAGACAGAGGGGAAACAGGCACCTTGGAATCAAATGCTCCCAGATGAGATTTGATGAGAGCCAGCTGCATCAAATCACACAGAGAGAAAGGGAATACACCACTGTACAGTAGCAGGCGGCGGTACATACAGTACAGACACGCTCACTGTAATGACAGATTCAAACACTTGCATGAGGTAACATTTCCAGATAATGATTTTGAGATAACGTTTCACATAGCTGTGGGTAAAATCAGATGCAGGGCTTATAGTTGTACACCAAAAGTACTACGGTACACGTAGCTGCATTATATAGTAAAGTAAAAAACGATCATGCAGCACAATCATGTGACAGCACTGCAATTTAACTGAAAAATGATGGGATGTATCTAAGTAAATCAAGAATGTCTTCACCTGAAGTAAACATCCGCAGCTTAATGCATTCAATTATTGCTTGCAATGAAACACAAAGGAAAAATTAGAACATCATGATATTTGTCCTCCTTTATAAAACCCACACAGTCGGAAGGTGTCAGTAAAAGGTGTTAACTTGACATGTGGTTCGTCCTACATTTTTGCTGCAAATATGCACACATAGGGTCAGGCTTATCTACGTGATTCCTTTTATCTTCTGAGTTTGTCCTTGTCATTCATGCTCAGTAAAGAAAAATGCAATTTGTTGCAACAGATCTTGCGAACAAAAGTGAGACGTGGGGTGTTATCTGGATTTTTTGATGATGAAACCAGAGCTTGTTAAAATCTGCGTATGTTTGGTGTCTTCAAAGCTCTTTGATCTGTCCCAGAACAGTATCAAACCCCTGAGGCAGTTGAAAGTGTCAAAGCCCCTCTGGCATGTATTTGTTTCCTATTAGAGCGAACCGTAACATATGGAGGTTGCTTATTGCTCTGGATTATTTGAACTGGAATATTTACAGTTTTCCACACAATCACACCCTTCATTATTCTGTCACAGGTCAGAAACCCTGACTCTCATGTTGAAGCCAGAATGCCGCAGTGTCAACATATTTACTGGAAGGATTGCATATAATATCTTCATGCACAATGAAAATGCCTGTGTGGGTTATTATAGTAATAACAAAACAGAAACAGACTACAGCCCAAGGCTGTGTTCAGGGATGGGTCGGGGTGGGAGCCATAAAAGCTGTACTGTCTGCAAAATATCAAAAGAGATGAGATCAAGTAACATACAAGCCACAGCACTAGCACATGTTTAATTGAAATAATACGTTTAAAAGTTTTCGCACTTTGTTTTGGCACAGATTCATGGATGATGAAAGAAAAGAATTGCAATGTGATTATGATCTGAATTACCATTATTAAGTGAAGAAAGCTGTAACAAGTACTTTAATTTGTCTATCTGACCCTTGTATGCTCTCCTTCAGGTCCTCAGCTCCTCCAAGTCCCTCCCCAAACCCAACGTTCTGTCTATGACCCTGCACACAATCGAAGGAGCTGCTCCGGGCTCCATAATCGGTTCCGTCCGCCCACCTGACCAGCATGACCCTGCTGTGCTGGAAGGCCAGGTGACCTACCTGGTAGTGGGAGGGACGGACCGGGATGGGACCTTCATGGTGGACCGTTTAAAGGGCGACGTATACCTGGTACGCGAGCTGGACTATGAGAAGGGATCGAGGTACACTCTGCACATCGAGGTTTCTGACTTCTCCCAGGCGTTTCCAAGCAGCCACCTGGTGAAGCTGGATATCAACGTGCAGGACAGCAACGACCACAGCCCTCAGTTCACTGAAGACCCTGTGACCATTGTGATCCCAGAAAACATCGAGCCGGGGGCTTCCATATTTACATTCCAGGCTCTAGATCAGGTGAGAAGGGAAATTATTGTCCAGTGAAGAGGACTTATATTGACTGACACTTGCTGTCATTATACAAGATGAATGTATTTTCAACCAAACACTATACATTTGTGTTAAGTTTCGTTACTTTTTAGTCTTGCAATATTATTTTCTGTTAAATATTATTCTGCCATACAATACCACGTGATGTGACATCTTCAGATTGATTGCTTTGGCTTTGACTATCAGTTATATATTCAAGTTACAATGATATATAACAGCCAGAAGCTCTAACCCTAAAATGTTTGGCAGTTTTTCTTGCTACATGAAACAAAGACAATACGAGTATCAAAATTCTTAAAAATACATTTCCAATGGAGTTAGGAGACAAATAATCATTTAGCATTTTAGCAAAACAATTTATACACTCCACAGGGTGACTTTAATTGATAATTCCCAAACCCTGACAAATTCATCTGTTTTTGTCTTCATAGGATGGCAGCGGACCCAACAGTGAGTTACATTACTCCATTGAGCACCACTGGCCCGACACCCCTGACCTGCTGACCCTCGACCCCTCCACCGGAGTCCTGACCCTGGGGCAGAAGTTAGATCGCGAGTCCACACCCTCCCTCTACCTTGTGGTGCGAGCCACAGACCAGGCAGTGGATCCTTCTCAGAGGCGCTGGGGTTCGGTCACCGCTCGGGTATTTGTGACCGACGAAAATGACAACGCTCCGGTTTTCAGCTCTCCGTCCGCGGTCAGCGTCATGGAGGATCAACCTGTAGGGTGGGTGTCACGTCAGAGGTCTGCTGATTGTTCAGTCATAAGACTGCAAAGAAAATTGTAGGAGCCATAGCAAGTTGATGTCATTCTTGTTTTGACAAACAGCTTGTTTGTGCCTTTTTTTGACAGGTTTGTGATTTTGTACGTGATGGCTCGAGATGAAGATGAAGGAGAAAACGGAAGAGTATCATACAGAATCCAGGCCGGCAACAGCGCTGGTCGTTTCAGTCTGAATTCCAACACTGGTAAGCTTATTTTAAGGGTGAGACGTTTTAACATCTAAAAATGTTCAAATGATATATCATGAGACAGGGAATTCTCCATAAATTTCCAATTTACACTCAATTGAGGGATAATTAGTGTAAAATTCACTGTATAATTTCTTGTGTTTACAGTTCTGCTTTGAATGATTTAACACAGCAGAACTAGTATGTGGCCTTTTTTCTGTGGGATCTCATGATTGATGGATCATCAGCGTCCCACCCAGAGAAGCCGCCTGGATGTGCAAAACTTTCCACAAGATCATAATTATGCTCTGAAGTGCCGCGTCTACAGGGTCTCAACTGCTTAAACATTCGTAACCTTCATAACCTTCTTTACTAGACGATCTTTCAATGCCTCGGGGCAATATTTCACTTGAATAATGCTTTGGTGTTCTTCTTTTGATGGATTTGTTCATGGGAACCGATCTTTATTTGGGCTAGGGATGCGGACGGCCCTTGATATCTTATATATCTTGATGTGTAATCTCTTCATCGCTGGAGCTGGGCGGTGTAGGCGTGCTCAGCTCCGGCTGGGATGGGATTAAGAACCATAAGACAGACACTTAATGCAGCTTCCAGATGGAAGAAAGTCTTTTCGTCATTACTGTCAAGCATCTGGCACGTTAAGTGAGGTTTATTTCACTTCTGGTTTGTTTCTGAGACTGTGTGGTGTTAAGCTTGTGGCTAATATTAGCTGTAATAGGAGATTAACATGTATTGTGAAGACATTTACCAAACTGCCTGACAAATGTGGGAGGTATCATTAGACTGATTACTGCACATAAATTGAACGTCTGGTCTGCCAACTTTCTGTTATTTCATATTACTGTTGCTTTACTGCTTGTTTTATGAACCACTTGAAGGAAAATTCATATAAGTTCTTTCAATTATTCCCAAGCAGAATCCAAAGTCTTGTTCCTTGCCCAGTATATTCTATATCTGCTTGTTTGAGGCATCATTTCAGCTATTCTAATCCTAGTTAGTGTTTTTATGACGGCACTGTCTTGTGCACATTTTCCACCAATTCAATCTGGCATATGATGATAAAATGCAACAGCACTTTTATCTTACAGTTGGAGCCGTATCAGTAAAACTACATTGGCTAGAGGGGTACGATGAAATAGTACGGTGAATGTTTTGCATCTGTCTGCTTTCAGTTGAAAAGACCTCACAGAAACATTCGAGCCTTGGCTTCACAAAACAGGCAACACACGATGTATGTTTGGCATGCTGTGGCATTTATAAATTAACTCACGTCTCGTATGCGCCGCGTGCCAGCCAACTTATACACTGCTGTGAAAAGCACACACACATTTCACATTTCTTCTCACTCTGACCGGCCCACTCCGTTGTCAGGGCGATGACAGGACTGTGGGGATGTAGACATAAAAGGTAGGAGAGTAACTAAAGCCTGTCTGTGCAGTGGAGACCTGATTCACAGGCTCCATGCGAACGAGCATGATTTACAGAAGCTACACATAGCAGCTAATGACTTACAGATTTTAAAGTCAGACAGATACCGTAGCGAAACGGGAAAAAAAAAAACAATAACTAGAGCTCAGGTCGTGGGTTGATCTGTGTTGGCAGCTACGCAGTTCGACGCAGTGGTGTGGCTTCTGTGTGTGTTTGCCTGCTTTGCTGCGTGTTAACTGATACTATGCACATCTACTCTGAATACATGTTCAAAGTTTCAGAGTTGAACAACTGGTATGAAGTAACTGTGTTCTCCCGCTCACTGTGGAAAATCTCATAAAGCAGAGCTGTAAAGGTTTTCGTTTTTACTAGTCCTCTAGGCATACAAATACTACCTCTCTCAGGTACAGAAAATTACGGATTCAAAAAAAACTATCTAAACACACACTTGGACACAAAACTTGTATGCGCACAGGAACAAAAAAAATCTAAATGTGTGCTTTAAGTGAAGTAATCTGGAAAAGTTTTCTTCAGTTGTTATTCTCTGCTCACTGATTTTTTTCCCCTCTGTTGTAGGCTCGCTCTCCATCCTTAAAGCTCTGGACCGGGAGGAGCAAGAAGTCTTCAATCTAACCATTGTAGCAGAGGATCATGGGATACCGCAGCTTTCCACCTCTCAGGTGCTGTGTGTGCAGGTGATTGATGTGAATGATGAAGCTCCGGTGTTCCAGCGAGCGGAGTTTGAGACCCAAGTGATGGAAAACCAGGGACCAGGAACAACAGTGTTGACAGTAACGGCTACTGACCGGGACCAAGGTTGGTAGAAAATCTTTTATGTGAATATATAGAAAAAGTACAGTCAGAGAGCAGAAGATGAGGACAAAATATTAACATCACAAGAACCCAGGAGTAGGTGTGGAAACACACGCTTACTTTGAAAAACATTCTTTTTATGTTAGCAAATACTGCACTTATTTAGCACACATTGTCTGCTTAATAATTCCATGAAATATAATATCATATTTGTTCTAAGAAAGGATGTCAAAATGTTGGACAAAGTCAAGATTTTCAGTACAGAAATTTCAGTGCAGAAAGAGTAAAAGTGCAGAAGGCTGTTGAACTAAACAATAGAAAGACATAAATGGCTTGGGGAAACCAAATCTCTTTAAACCAAACCACAAGCACATGCCAATGAAACCGTGTGGTTGCAGCCATCATCCAGAGACCAATATTTCTGGAGCTTTCATTAGGATGTGCTACCAGCACAATGCAGTTTTGTGTTCACTAAATAACACTTACCTTTAATTTGTAATTGCTTTCCAATGCAGGATCTAATGGCCAAATAACATATGGAGGGGTGACGGAGGAAGGTTTCATCATCAACCCTGTGACAGGAGTGATCACAACCACAAAGGAACTGGACACCGAGCAACAGGATCACTACACACTCACTGGTACTAAAACATGCATTGCCTTATGTTATATTGTATGTACTAAGTCTTTCATTTCAGTACATCAGTTTAAACCTTTGTATGAGATTCAAGCATCATCCGTTTAATGCTTTCCATCTGTCACCAGTGTATGCCAGGGATGGAGGACTGCCTCCTAACTTTGCCAAAGCTGTAGTTCGTGTGGAGGTGCAGGATGTGAACGACAACGCTCCCATCTTTGCCAAGCCGTGGTATGGACTCGAGGTACCGGAGAACCAGACCCCCGTGGAGCTTTGCTTCCTGAAGGCCACAGACCCTGACTCGGGTCCTGGTGGAGAGCTGGAGTACAGAATAAGTGGTGAGAAACAGCGCTGTGTGTCCAATCCAAGTATTTTATTTGGATTAGATTTAAAGGGTGATTAAATTCACCACAATTGCTGTAATTGCTGTTTCAGGGCGTGTCCACTGTGAAATTAACAATATCGTGGGAGAAACATTGAATTTTTGGCATTTTTGTTGTTTTTCAGGCTGAAATGGTGAAATTTAAATTTAGAGACTGTTGACATATTGTTGACATTTGACACCTTTGACATTTTTGTTGGGATCTGAAGTTGTAGTGGCAGTGTACAGAATTTAGTCTTACCAAGTAGAGTTTGCAGTATTTGGACAAGACTCCATTCCCTCCACATCATAAAACAAGATCTGCAGTTAGAGTAAACTTGTTCTCGATATTGTCTTGTGAAAAGTAGTACATTCCATCTGCCTCTCTGGATCACATTTAGTGTTCGACTTAGTACAGATGTGGCTCTTTCTGGTCTTGTTTTAAGACTTAATTGACAGAAAATGCTTGGTTTTTACAAGTTTTCCCACATCTCCTTCCATCTAGCGGGGGACCCTGATGGAGATTTCCAACTTCACGCCACTACAGGGGCCCTGTTTACCTCACGTGGGCTTGACAGGGAGACGAAGGCAGAATATACTCTTGAGGTGGTGGCTACGGACCGAGGCAGCCCTGCTCTCAGCGCTACTGTCACAGTGGAAGTTAGAGTGCTGGATGTCAATGACAACAGCCCTGTCTTTAGCAAAAGTAGCTACGTGGTTGAAGTGTCAGAGGATGCTCCAGAGGGATCGCAGGTTCTCGAGGTAAGTACAAATTAAGATGATTGGAGATTTAAAAATTCCCACTTTTCTTCTAATGTCTCACTCACGGAATTTTATTTATTTTTTGTCCATGTCCAGGTGTCAGCAGTGGATGTCGATGATGGCTTAAATGGAAAGGTTCTGTATTTCCTCAGCCGAGAGGCACACGGAGCGTTTACTGTGGATGAGAACACTGGTCAGATCATCACATCAGCTCCTCTGGACCGTGAAAAATGGGCGTCATACAACTTCCAGGTGTTTGCTGTCGACCTTTCACCTGCTGCACCCAAGAACTCCTCTGCTCAGGTAAATCAGGAGTTAGGTATCAAAGGTGTTTGGTTAAATTCATAAAGTCACATGCTGGATTTAAAAGTACATTGTTTGGTGATATTTTATTGCTCGTCTTTTTAGTGATTACTTTTACACTTGACCCACACGACCTCTACATTCCAGGTGACTGTCACCATCCTCGACGTCAACGACAACACTCCCTTCTTCATTCAAGATCCGTTGGTCATCGAAGTGTCCAGCAGGCGTTCACAGCGGGTTTTAGCCACAATGAAGGCTGAGGACAAGGACTTCGGAGCCAATGGGTCTGTGTTTTATCGTTTCGCTGCCCCAGTGACGGGCTTCAGTATCAACTCCCTGACTGGAGAGATCCAGGCCACGGAGCCACTTGGAGATCTGAGCCAGGCTCAGAGGACCCTGATAGTGGAGGCCATGGACCAGGGCAGCCCAGCTCAGTCTGCACAGGGGGTGGTGGTGATTTATGTGAAGGAAGTGGAGTACAGCGGCATCCGTTTCTCAAGGAATGCTAGAGACGTCAGCATACAGGAGAACGCTGCAAAAGGTTGGAAAATAATGTCAGGAATTAGACGAATTTGTTCCTGTATATCCTTTGTCAGTTTCCTGTTGTCACAATTAAGGCATATTTTCTCTTCTTTACTTCAACAACTCAGGCACAACTGTGGCTCAGGCTCAGGCTCAACATCCAGATGGCACACGGATAGGTATCAGCTATAGCCTCTTCAGCGGGAACAGACAGCATGCTTTCAGCATCAGCTCGTCAACAGGTGAAGCTCACACTGAAAGTAATATTGTATTGATTCAATTTGTTAATGAGATGTGGATTAAATAACAAGTTGTATACATATGATGATCAGTGATACCTCATTTTTAAATCACATTTTTCTTCGTCAGGAGAAATACGGGTGCAGAGCTCCAAGGGACTAGATTTCGAGGACACCCCGAGACTCCGTCTAGTCGTGAAGGCTGAAACCATGTACTCCACATCTTTCATGGCTTTTAACTTGATCCTGCAGGATGTCAATGACAACCTTCCTCGCTTCCAACTGCAGAATTATGTGGCCTACATGAAAGAAGCACAGGGATATGAAATGCCAATCATACAGGTGCCAACAAATATTTTAAAAAACAGCACAATAATCCAAAGTCGTGCAGGTATTTGGTGTACTGGAGTTCTGCGAAGGGTGGAAATAAATTCTCATTGTTCTCCCTTTTCTTCCCCCTCCACTTTCCCTTCTCCCAGGTGGTCGCCGAGGATGTGGATCAGGGTCAGAACGGTCAGGTGACCTACTCCATCCAATCATCAAGCATGAGCGGCCTGTTCAAGATCGACCCTGTGACAGGAAGCATCACCACAGCAGCCATCATGGACCGTGAGATCTTTACCCAGACCAAGTGAGGACAGATCTGTGGTTAAAAAAAACTTAATAAGAACCATTCTATGTCCATATATAGAGGATGAAGATATATTGTACATGTAAAAATATCACTACAAGGTGGTGTGCAGAAGAAAGTCCAGTATGTTTACACACAGGTAAACATGAAGAGAAGAGGGAAAAAAATGATACCTAGCACATCATGAATTGTTTTCACTCTGCTAAATTGTGTTTAGATATCTGATGAGGAAATTGGCATAGTGAAGATGTAAGCATCGGTGCAAACAGATATCTCCATGCCAAATGTATTACAGCTGCCCCTGTTTACTACAACAATTTCAGAAATTTATTTTTTTTGCTTTCATAACAGAAATTGAGCACGTGTAACCAAATGGCGAAAAAAAAAAAGAAATCAGTAGATGCACATCATTTTAAATGATCTTTCTATTATTATGACATTCAAATTAAACTTAGAGAAATGCAAATGTAATAAGAGAGAGGAAGACTGTTTAGATAATCTCATTCTCTGCCCACCCACAGGCTTGTAGTTACAGCAACTGATAGAGGAAGTCCACGACTGGCTGGTACTGCGACACTGACAGTGATCATTGTTGACCAGAATGACAACAGCCCCACTATTCCCTTGCCTCAAGAAGTCCGGATCCCAGAGAGTAAGTATTGTAATTTAAAGCAATTGTCGGACTTTCTAGTTATGTGTTTTAATATGTGGCACTTCACAGCAAATACATTTCCAAAACAAGAACTGTGCAGGTATAAGGATACGTAGTTGTGGCTGCACTATATGAAATGTTGAATGCAACTAACAGGTTTTCATTAAATTTTCTGTCTCTACCAGATACTCTGATAGGAACAGAGATCACTCTTGTGACCGGCAACGATGTGGACTCCAGCCCTGCCCTCTCCTACTCCTTGCAGCTAGACCCAACAGCTTTAGGCAAGTTTGGGATTCACCGCTACAGTGGCGGCGTGTCACTCACTGCCCCTCTAGACTTTGAGGAGAAGACGTGGTACACCCTGACCGTCAGAGCCACGGACAGCCAGCACCAAGCTGAGGCTAACATTACCATACTGGTGGAGGATATTAATGACAATGCACCTGTGTTCACCCATGATCTCTATCAGGTATGTAAATTTAGTTTTATTACATTTATTGTGTATTCTGGATAAAACACACATCCACCACAAAAATCATTCCTATCCCTAGTATTTGTTTTACTGTATGCTATAAAAACAGTAAAGAAATATATCCTTTACTTTTATTGCATACACGTAAGGGAATGCACAGAATGTGCGTTTAAATTCGTGATGTATTCACACCTTATAAAGTTTGATAGTGAAATTAATTTACTTCAGAAACGGTTTCTCTCCAGCAGACTACTTTAGAATTGCACTCATGGGCTTGACACACACTGTAAAGAAAAAAAACACACATGTATACATTCCCAGCTTGCACACAGTGGAGGTGATAAAAGTTTACTGCCCAATATTGACTGGGGAAAGGCTGGAGAGATGAGCTTAATAATATTTACTACTGCGTCTCAGGAAATGACCTCAACATTAGCACACACTTTGGAAAAAAACAGGAACTACGTTCTAAAATGCAATAAAATGTTTCCCTCTGTGTGTGTGTGTGTTGACCTCCTATCCATGTGTTTGGGAATTTTACTCCAGTATTTATGTGACCAGTTGACAGCTTTTTTGTTTCTTTTCCCTGATGCTTAAATGTTGTTATTAATGTTTTTGCACTCCAGATCACTCTGCCTGAGCACACACCACCGGGAAGCGCAGTTATCACAGTAACAGCAACTGACAGGGACTCAGGAGAGAACGGAAAGATCACCTACCGGGTGATGTCAGCAACCCAGGAGGGTTTCTACATTGACCCCAGCAATGGTGAGATAACCTTGGCTTCTTCTTGATTTATTTTACCTCTCTGCATCAGTTTCCAGTTTTAACTGAAAGTAAGATTTATTGAATTTGGAAGCAACTCTTTGAGCACAATGGCTGATCCCATTTCATTGTCTTCCGTATCCAGGAACCCTGTTCATCAATCACAGAGCTGAGTTTGACCCTGAGCGTCCGTCAGTCAGTATTGTCATTGAAGCTCGTGATGGAGGCTCGCCTTCGCTCTCCTCTCTCACTACAGTCCAGGTTCAGATCTCTGACGTCAATGACAATGCTCCAGTGTTTCACCAATCAGACTACAGGTTTGTCTACTTTCATCAAAATTTGGTTGTATTCTAGCCTAACGTAAACAGCTGTCCTTATACTGTATACGTGATTTTCTGTTTGCAGGGCTACAGTTTCTGAAGACACCATCCCAGGTTCCACAGTTCTGACTTTTGAAGCCTTTGACAGTGACCTCTCTCGAGAAAACTGTGGTTTTGACTTCGCTATTGCCAGCGGCAATGAAGGAAATGCATTCCAGATCGAAAGCAGTGTGCGGTTCCTAGAGGGACGAGGCTTTCAGACAGTTGGGACCCTACTGTTGGCTGAGGGGCTCGACTTTGAAACCAAGCCGCTTTACAACCTCACAGTGGTGGTGTCTGACCGTGGTGTGCCCCAGAGGAGCTCTAGTGTTGCTGCAGTGATAACCATAGGTGATGTGAATGATAACCCTCCAGTGTTCAGTAGAGCAGAATATACTGTGTCACTGAGTGAGGGAGCTGCCGCTGGTACTGAGATCATACGACTGACTGCTACAGGTGGGCAAATATCTCCTGTTTTTATCCAGTTGTCTTTAATTTTCTCTCCATTTCTTACTATTCCTTTTTTACTTTGTCTCACAAATAATTCATTATACCCTGTCTTTTTGCCAGACCCAGACTCAACTCCCAACGCTGAAATCCAGTACATCATCAGCTCCGGTGATGAGGTGAACTTATTTACCATGGACCAGTGGACTGGGGCCTTGAGGCTTCAGCGAGCTCTTGATCGAGAGCATCAGTCCACACATGTTGTCATTATTCAAGCCACAGATGGACAGGGTCACTTCGCACTAGCTCCAGTCGTTGTTGAGGTCAAAGATGTAAATGACAATCACCCATTCTTCCCGGTGGAAGTCCTGACAGCCAGCATCAAAGAAAACCAACCAGCAAACTCAGCTGTGACTGTTCTACATGCCATAGACCATGACACGGGGGTTTTTGGCCAAGTGAAGTACTACATGGTGGAGCGATCCGGAGCAGGAAAAGACAGCTTTGCTGTGGACCAGAATTCAGGCGAAATCAAAAGCAAAATTCCATTTGACTTCGAGAAGATCAACTCTTTTAATTTTGTGGCAATAGCAGTAGATTCAGGCAACCACTCTGCCACTGTGACTGTACAGGTGTTTGTCACAGGTGAGGATGAGTATGACCCACTCTTCGCATCATCTGATTTTTCCTTTGAAGTCCCAGAGGGAGCCAAGAAAGGCCAGAGCATCGGCCAAATCCAAGCCAATGATGAGGATGGTGGAGTGGATGGTATTGTTCTCTATTCTCTTACCGCCAGCTCTCCATATTTTGATGTGAACAAAACCACTGGGGTGATTTTTCTTAAGTTGGACAGCACAGGCAGCAGCAGTAGCAGTGGGTCGGGCCGAGCTAAACGGGAAACCAGGGTGATGACCCTGGATGTGAAAGCTCACAGTCCTCTTGACACATCTCGCACTACTACAGCCCAGGTCTCCATTGATGTCACAAACACCAACTTTGGCCTGGCTGCGGATGTCAACATCCTGCTTATCAGCATAATAGCTGTGTCTCTTGGTTTTATCATATTGCTTGTGGTCATGGCCGTGGTGGTGTTCCTGGTCAAGTCACGCAGGAGGAAGAAAGGCCAGGATGCAGGAAATAGAACAGTTGCATCAGGAACTGCCTTGCAGAAACTGGACGATTGCAACTCAGGACCGGGAGGAGAAAGGATCTACCATCAGACATTGCCAGGCTATGCTGCAGATCAGGGTGGGGCAGGTGGTGGTCCCTACACTAGAGGGGGCTCTTTGGATCCTTCTCACTCCAGTGGAAGAGGATCCGCCGAGGCAGCAGAGGATGATGAGATCAGGATGATTAACGAGTACCCCCGTGTCGCCTCCATCACCTCGTCCATGCAGGAGCATATCTCGGCCAGAGGACCAGACTCTGGAATCCAGCAGGACGCTGACCAGCTTTCTGATATCTCATGTGAGCCTGCAGCTTTGGAGGGCAGCACCTGGTTCAAAGGAAAGAAACTGGGAGGCAGCCTCAGTGGGACCTTGCTCTCTGGTCAGCTCCCAGTCTATCGGGACGAGGGAGGTGGTTACCTGGGAGTGGGCCGTGGTCTCAACATTTCCCTTCCCAAGGACTACGCCTTCCCTGAGGATGGTAAACCTTCAGTGGACGGCTCCCTCACAGCTATTGTTGCCAGTGATGAGGAGCTTCGTGGAAGCTATAACTGGGATTACCTACTCAACTGGTGCCCTCAGTTCCAACCTCTCGCAAATGTCTTCACAGAGATTGCTCGGCTGAAAGATGAAACCGCTCAACAGAGTCAGAACCCTCGTCAACCCTTCCAACCAAAGCCCAAAATGGACCCCAAACCTAGAATTGACCCTCCACCACTTATCACATCAGTGGCCCATCCAGGGGCCATGTCAGTTCCCCCCAAAGTTCCTGTGATTGGGCGGACATTCCCCCACTTGGCCTCTCTCCGCAGGTCCCCTATCAGCCATGAGGGATCCATTTCCTCAGCAGCAATGTCGCCCAGCTTCTCCCCTTCTCTGTCTCCTTTGGCAGCTCGATCACCAGCTGTGTCTCCATTTGGAGTCAATCAAGGGCCCTCAGCGTCCATGATCAGCACCAGGGAGCCCTCGCTGGACCAGAGTCCTGATCGGGAGATGAGAATATGATTGAAAAATCACTAAACAAATAAAGGAGGAACTTTAAGACAGACAACATGAACAAAGAATGAGAGACCCTCCTTTTTGGATGTTCTTTTGCATGGATCAAAAGAAAGCAAGCAGTGATGTCAAGTGCACTGTCATTCTCAGAAAGCGTTGTTTTCATTATAAGATTGAAGGTTTCTCAAATGCCCAGACAGAGACATATGTGTAAACTGTCAGACCACTTGATTTTTGGGCAATAAACACAACCACAAAAACATACTGAACCTTCTCCAGCTAGAATATGTGGATAAGTACTTCTGTTGGCCGGCAGCGTTGCAGGAATACACAAAAGTGGAACATGTGCCTGGTTTGACAGGACCATACCACCTTTCCATTTTCACGGTGACGCAGGTCTCCATGAACTGATCAGGGTCAAGAGGTAAACTGACTTCTTCGTGGGAATGTGCACTTGCCACGCCCTGCAGTCAGAGATCCCTTAGTGTGTAGATAGATAAATGTGTAGTTTTCATGTTACCTCGCTGGCTGGCCAGAGAGCAAAGGACCTTGTCCCTCTCTTTGTGTCTGTGGACATTTTTACACTCCAGTATTAAACTCATCTAGTGGCTGCTTTTGAAGTGGCTCTGGACATGTCTGTGAATCCCATGGACGGACAAACAGTGTGTGTTCAAAAAGACACTGATTCATTGAATTGCCAATGCATCACACAGTGGAAGAGCAATGGAGACTATTGTTTTTCTCACCAATTCAGATGACACTTCCTTTGATTTTACTTTTATTTTTATATTTTTATATGAATCTATGATTTCAGATCCATTATTCCACATCGAGAGGTTATTGTTTTTGTGTATTTGCATATATGTATATTTGTATGTATGCAGGCTACACTATGTACTGTATGTGTCTCCTAGGTTTTTAGAGACTCTTGTGACAGTTCTCGTGCGAGTGAGAGGGAGACGTTTGTGTTTTTAGTATTATTTATATGAAAAAAAGAACTCCCGCCAAAAGTTGAAAAAAAGAAAACAAACAAAACCCAACCCAAGCCGGGGTGGTAACCTAAGAATTTTTCCTTTTTTTTTTCTTTTTTTTTTGTCAAATTGTTGATCATCACAAATCCAAAACAGCAACTGGATAAAAATCTGTGATCAATCTAAATGCCCGCTTCTGCAGCAGTTCAGCACTTGTGCACAACAGCACATTCCCTTTGTTATTCAGGGAGAACTCAATTTGCTGATCACCTCTGTGTCTTTGAAAAGAAAGTGCTTCCTAAAGTTCCTTACATCAGTCATTAACTTAAATGCATTTTACTGTGAAGTTGTTCATCTCAGCACAATGGAAATAACACGCAATGTCCCAGCTAAGATTCTCATAGGAAAGTGGCAAAAAGAAATGTAGCACATTAACCAGACAAGTGGGAACCAAAAGCCTGAATGCATGAGCCCTGATGAATGTAGGAGGATTTAGCAACCAGTGCAGTATTCATGTTCCATATTAACATCTCAGTTCTGTGCATTTTATTTCTGTGATTCATGCATCGAGATTGTCAGCAAAATGATGAGGTGTTTTCACGTTCCATATGTTTAACTCATCTGCACCTTCTTGCTTTTCTTTCATTGTTCAGATTCAGTTATAGCAATCTGTTAGTGCAGTGAGAGCCAAAAGGCTTTAAGAGTGTCCTTGTCATTCTTCCATGTGTATACATCATCCTGGCCTGTTTTTGATCTTTGGGGTAATTGCAGTGATTGGATGGCCTCTTGTTTTCAAGAAAAAGGCTTCTACCTCTGTTCTTTTTTCTGCATAACCCTACAAATCGCCTCATGCAGAGCTGGCACTGGATCAGCAAAAAGCAACTCATGGCATGAGCCTAACTCTAGCACAACATGCTCTTGACTCATAGTCGTGCTGTCTTAGAAACATTTGTGTTAGAGAGCCTCAATTTGGAGTTCAGTTTGAAATGACTGCCAGTGATTGATCAGTGGAGCGACGGCAGAAGAAAAGGAGCTGTACTTGTATTTAAAGCAAATAATAAATTCCTACTGATCTCTTTTGACAAACTGGAGTCAGAGTTCATCTTTTTCAGAATTCAAACCAAGACTTGGAGAGAAGATCTGAGAGGTTATTAAAGTTTTACAGTGTTCCCACTATCTGGACTGTGAATAGTAACTTTGAAGAGGTGAAGTTATATTCAGTCATTTATGAGAAGGCCATGACTGAAGGGGGAAGACTAGGCTTCGGGAAGAACCATCACTTGAAGGTAAGACTCAGCTGTAGCAGTATGTGTTTCTGCAATATAAATGGTTCATTTCTAACTCTAGGAAATGCATACATACAACTTTGCTATTACAACGCATATTCAGTGTTGCACACAAATTCACATCAGCTTATCGTAGTACCGCATAAACCTGAACTCTCGTCAAATTCCAGCTCATATAAAGGCACATGATGTTTATGTAACTGATTAATTACAAAATGTTTATTTCATATGGAGCATCGACATGTTTGCATAGCTGCTGTGAATTTTTTGCCTCATTTGGTGATCACATACACACACACACAGCAGTGCAGTGTTTCTCTGTTATTGCTATGTACAGAAGGAGCTGCGCATGGATTTTAACAATGTGCAAAGAAAAGAAAGAGCCAGAGACAAGCTCCTGGAGCGTAAGTGAGAAATGCAAGCCATCTTGTAAAAATGAGATGCGACGATGATAAATTGCACACGTAGTCATCAGTCAGTGGAAGATCAGTTGTACAGTTCACAGGTATGATTACACATGGATGCATGTATTTATCCTATATTACATAGACAACTGTAGCTCATGTGGATAATTTACAGTAAAAACACATTACCTAAACTATAGTCTTGCTTTGGGGAGAAAAAAAAAAGCTTGCTGCCCTGGCTTTTACGTTCACCTCCACACACAGCTGTGTTTACAGCCTGCTGTCCCAGGGCTGCTTTTGCAGCCTACTCCTTCACTAACCTCACACAACTTCAAATAATCACAAGCACACGCACACATGTACTTAAAGGCTACTACACAGTGACACACATGGCCCACAACAATCTCCCCAGCTGATATTGGCCCTGATCCAGCTCCTACAGGCACATACTTGGCAGGTTTCTTAGTTGCAGAATCTGGGAGAAATCTGTCTGGAGCAGAACTCTATCCTCTGGAGAAGATGTAAGCCAAATATGAAATCCTTGGTGCAGCATGATATTTGCGTCTGCGATTTGTTATGAAGAGTTGTAATAATCTGTAAGACAGCGGTGATTCTAGAAAGGCACAATAAAGTCCAATATATATACTTGAAGTAACAATCAACTACAAACTTGCAGAAAAAGATGCACCCACTATTCATGAACATCCTTCTTTAGATTTACTCTTGCGTAGTTACTCTTTATACTGATTAAAGGCCCTCCAAACCTATTTTCACAAGTCCAGAATGAGAGCTGTAACAGATTTTTTTTATATTGTAAGTGGTCTATAGAGACAATTTTAACTCATTTAATTTTACATGGCATATAAGAGATTTAACACATAAAAGACAATTAAGAAAAACAGAGTTCGCCTTCCAACAGCATGAGTAACCCTTGGAGCTGTATTTCAGTTTATTGCTGTGTCCTCTTTCATAGTGGAATATAAATAGAGATTTTTAATGTGATTGTCAATTGTTAAGAAAGTATCATTTTCACTGACAGCTTTTGGAATTTAGTAGTAATTTGGAGGAAAGGCACCCAGAGTGTGTTTGGAACAGAAGTGAGGACTTTGGAGAACAGGCACTTTTGATAAATCTTATTCTCCGTAAAAGCTACATTCCCAGAAAGCACACTCTGTTACAGGCTGTTTTCTTTCCAGTAGATCTGGGTAATCTGCAGCTGTACTCTCTGGGAATCCAGCCTGTAAACATTAAATTAGACTTGGCCCACGCTGTAGTTGGTGTCCAGGTGCTCTTTCATTCTGACTTTGATCAGTTCAACTTCATTAAACGATGGATCAGTGCATGCACATGAACGCACAACCGCTAAAAAGCGAAACATTCGTGTTAAGTGTGAAGCATTGTATACCGCATATCAGAGGAAAATATTAATGCGCTCCTCCACCAGTTGATGGAGTATTCATGTATGTAGGTCAGTGCAGAGAGAAAGAAAGAGCAAAAGGGAGAAAAAAACATGGAACAGAAATAGGAACTGTGGAAGTTAGAATCTTTATTGCAACTTTTAACTGAGCTTGAGGTCCTGCAGGGATTTTTGAAGTGCTATTTGTCAGAGGCAGAGTAACGTTTCCACTAAGACATATTCATGAAAAACAAGACCCAGACGTGGTGTCAGCTGTGCAAGTGTAGCGATATACTGTGCGTTTGATGCTATTGTGAAACAGAGTGAAGGCATCTGAAAGATATGAATAATTATGCCCTGCACTGAATTCCTCCGAACTTCATCTTTTCATAGCACTTATTTTTCTTTCTTACCCTTGAACTTCCTTATTCACATATTTTAGCAGAAACTGAATAAATCTGGTACGCTTGAGCACATGGCCAGCACTAATACCTTCTTATTTTCTCATGACAGTCAAGCCACATATTTGGTGACCAAATATTTTAAGGGGCAAAAGCACCGATTTTTCACGTAAAGTTCCGTATACTTGTCAAAAGGAGAACGTGAAAACATTTGTATAGGCATGGTTTCTTCTTCTTTCAATGTTGTGCCATGTAATATCAAATATTTTGTTATCTCTGCTTGGATAATACATTACAATGTTCAATTGGAGGCATGCGGTTTAAAAGAAGCGAATGCTACACCTTCAGGGTTCATTTAAGAGGTGCATTATGGGAAATGTTAGTGCTGCTGAATCCAAAGAAGTGACTAAAGGTCACAATATCTGTGCTGTACGCTATTTAATGAAATCAAAGCATCAGTATGAGCTAGACTGGCTGCATTTGCAATAATATCAGAATACTGTTCATCAGTTTGTGTTTTGCTTCACTGGAGCCAGCAGCGGGACGTTGTTTGTTAGATAAGAATAACTCCATTCAAAAATCTATTGATAGTGTCCAATTCACCCAGAAGTCTCTTTGAACAGATTCCCAGAGCTACAAAGAAGACTTGTGGAAGTTGGCTAAATCAGCTTTTGCTCCAAGGTCAGTCGGACCCCAATGAATCTGCTCCCCTCTTCTCTGTCTGGCATCTCCCTCCCCAGGAAATTACCATGAACACATACATTTCTACATTCCATGACATCCAAAAGCTCTCAGGAGAACCTCTGGAGCCAAGATCCAGTTTCATCGCTGTTTATCAGTTGTTATCTCTGCCGGTGAAGGGAAAACTTCTCACCGCTGTTTGGAAGCTGAATGCACGTGTGTTGTGCACATATGTAAAAGCTGAACATTTGTGGACAAGCTGTGGTTTGTTGTCCGTTTAGGCTTTGATACTGTCGTGGCTTTCAGCAATCAACTTTTGAGAAAGAGTCTTAATTACTTTTGCCACAAAGAGCTGCAGAATTCTCTCAACCCAAAGGTATACTGTCAAATTTCAATTTACTTCCAATGTCAACACGGAGTTAATTTCTGCCTCCCTTTCTGCGCCGTGCCACTTGCATGTCTAACAGGATCCACGGAGGAAAAACAGTCACCGAGGGTATTTGGCTCCTGGCCTCTGTATTGCTATTTTTAGCGAGTTTCCACTTTTTTTTTTTTCTTCTTTTTTTTTCTGTGGCGTCAAGCAGAGGAAAAATGACAGGAGAAAGGAGCCAGCTGAGTCAGTGTGAGCCTGTTTCTCATTTGTGCTGACCTTGTGTTACAGGACTCCCTCACTAGTGTCACTCACACTTCACACTGCAGGAGAGAGCAGCGAGATGAAGGGGAGGAAATGGAGCAGGAGACATGACGAGGAAGCCTATCAAGACAAAAACAAAACACCACTGTACCTGCATGCACTTAAAAACTAGTTTAAATAATCAATTTTTTGCATTACA